ATTGATTCGGTGACTGGGGTAATCGGGATGGGTGTGTCAGAGGAGGTGCGGTTGGCGCAGGATAGAGCAGGGTTTAGAGCTGTTGTGCATAGGGTCGCTATGAGTCGGAAACGACTCGATGGCACATAACAACAACAACAATATATACAAATATATGTATATATACTTCACAATCATAGAGAAAAGGTGACTTCTTGTAAGTTGTCTTGATCTAAAATCTTGTTTTTTTTATTTTGGGTTTTTTTTTTTTATCACCCAAGATTCAACTGGAAAAAGGAAGTGTTTACATAGTATCATAAGACAATTGACCAGAACAATGCTGTCACAAGCTCTTTTACCCAAGAAAAGGTTCTAGCAACATCTACAGACAATACCAGAAAAATGTTTATTAGTGTTGTATTGACCATGCAAAGGCATTGAACTGTGTGAGTCATAACAAATTATGGCTAACATTGAGAAGAAGGAGAATCACAGGACATTACTTAATTGTACTCCTGAGAAATCTATACCTAGGTCAAGAAGCTGTTGAGTGAATGGAGCAAAGGAACACTGCATGGTTTTAAAATTAAGAAGGGTCTGTGTAAGGAATGTGTCCTTTCTCCATACCTGTTCAATGTATGCTAAGCAAATAATTTGTGAAGCTGAACTATATGAAGAGGAATGTGGCATCAGGATTGGAGGAAGATTCCTCAACAACCTGTGTTATGCAGATGACACAACCTTGCTTGCTGAAAGTGAGAAGGCATGGTGCAGAAAATTAAGGACTATGACCTTTAATATGGTTTATATCTAAACATGAAGAAAGCAAATGTCCTTACCACAAAACCAATAGTCAACATGCTAGATGGAGAAAGGATTGAAGTTGTAGATTATTTCATCTTGCTTCTATCAGCAATGAGTACCCTTGGTATCAGCAGTCAGGAAACCATGAGACGTATTGCATTGAGTGAGTTTGCTTTCAGGGAACTCTCCAAAATGCTGAATGAAGGTCAATGGTGTCAGTTTGAAGACTAAGGTGTGCCTGATTCAGGCCATGGTCTTCTCAATCACTAGATTCTCTTTGCTATGCACCAGAATAAATAAAGATGACAGAAGAAGGATTGATGCCTTTGAGTTATGGAGCAGGAGAGCAGTGCTGAATATCTCATGGACTTCCAAAAGAGTCTGTCTTGGAAACAGATCTGTCTTGAAAAAGGTGCAGCCAGAATGCTTCTTGGAGTCAAATATGGAAAAGCTTCATCTCTCATACTTGTAGCTAGGACATGTACCTTGGCAAGGCTACTCCTTGAGAAAGGACATCATTCTTGGAAAGACAGAGGATCAGCAAAAAAGAAGATCCCCAATGAGATGGACTGACATGGAGACTTCAGCAATGAGCTCTAGTGTGTCAACTAGGGAGGAGAAAGATGGAGAAGCAAGACCTTAGTCTTCACCATTATTGGGAAAGGAATGGAATTCTTTTTCATTTCTCCACATTTTACAATATCAATTTCTGCCTTAGACAAATACATATTTGGTTTCTAAGGATCGAAAACCCAATAAGGCCTCTCAAATAGCAAGAAATAACTGTGTCTTCTTTCAGACATGTGGCTACTTTCCCAAGGAGCATGTCCAAATCTTGGCCACTTATCCATACAATGTATAGGTGATGATGTGGTAAGATTATGAGAAAATGGGCTCCTCTTCATCAACAGTCATTTAGGTTAAACATTCAGAAACACTTCACGACTTATATAAGAAGCATTGAAATTACTTTTGAAAAGACAATATAGAGTCACTTTACCTGGAAATTTTTTCTCTAAAAAAATAATTGAATTTGAAATATGGGAAATGATATTCAAAGCAAAAGGCAAAAGGAATGATAAACAGCTATGGCCATGTGAGAATCCTGGTATCATATGTTAAGAGATCATCTGCTAATTTTTGACCAAGGAATAGTGAGTTTTCACACTGCTATACAATTGAGTTCATAACAAAAAAAAAAGAATTTATTTCTATTACCTAATTTCTAAAAGTCAAGTTGGTCTGCCTGAGAGACAAATTCTAGCTCTAATTATAACAGGGATATGAAAGCTGTTGTCAGGGGAAACATGTGCTTGGCTCATTGTATTCGTTTGGTTAGGCTTTCCTATTCCTCTTTCAGGAAACAGAAAGACAAGAAGATTTGGAAATTCCATGTATTAACTCATGTCCTGGCCAGGGAATATGAGTAGTTATGAGAATGTTAGGATTTGGAAAAGGGACAATTATGATTTTTTTTCTCCCAATAAAACAACAACAGAACCTAGGTAGAAGAGAAAAACCAGAAGAGTTCCTTCTGAACTTATTTTAAGTCACTCCTAACTTCTTTTTCTTTGTGACTTCTTCCCAGGTACCGCATGCACAAATCCCGGATGTACAGCCAGTGTGTCCGAATGAGACATCTTTCCCAAGAGTTTGGATGGCTTCAAATCACCCCCCAAGAATTCTTATGCATGAAGGCTTTACTTCTATTCAGCATTAGTAAGTGTCAAGAGGGATAGTTAGTGCCCCTGGGGGCAGGAAAACTCAGAAAGAGGATGCTTTTATCATTAAAGGGTCATCAGGTGAAAAGCCAGTCCCTGGAAATTCTATTCTTTTTCTCCTTCCTCTGCCTCATTGTATCCTATCTTTTGTTTCCTGACAAAGACAAATGTCATGGACATAGTTAGCTTTATTTGTTAAAATTCAGTCTCTAGCATACCGTTATCTATTCCCAGCCTTTCTTTAGCATTGTCATTGTTTTTACTGGTTGTAAAAAATTTTGAGTTTTCCCATAGCTTCTGCCATAGAGCTAGGCAAGAATTGTCATGTACCTCCTTGCAAGGCAATAGAACAGGGGAGGAATGATTTCTTGAAGGAATCTTCTCTTCTGCTTATAGCAGCAGGTCTTTATTGCTATCCAGTCAATGTCCACTCTTATTGACCCTATAGAACACAATGGAATCACCCCTTTGGATTTTAGGATCTTAATGAAGGTTATAGATCTTAATGAAAACAGACTGCAACAACTTACTCCCACAAAGCAACTGGTGGCTTAAAAATCCTGCTCTTTCAGTTAGCAGGCAAGTACTTCACCATTGTGCTACCAGAACTCTACATAAGCACCTCAGACAGGTTTTATTTGCCGGGAGAAGTTTTCTTAAATGTTTCTTCAAAACACAGTAAGCCTTTGTGAGATAGAAAAAAGACAATATTTTCTATGTGGCCTCTGTGCGATAGAAAGGAGGCAAAATTTTATATTAAAAGCCATACATTATTTTATATTTTAGTCATGTAAATGAAATGATGAATATAAACTACATAGTCTCCTAAACCCTAGAAAAATGGATAGATGAAACAACTGGGAAAAAGAAAGATTTGTTAAATTTGTTTAGTAAGTTTTATTTACCTGGTTCTTTTTTACTGAGTTCACTTAGTCTTTTCCAAAAGAATAGCTTGGCAATCTAAATTCTCCAGACACACAGACTTTAATTGATAGGAAGCCAAGTATATATCCCCTGGGGGGGGTGAACGTCAAATTGAGGTCAGAAAATCTGATAGTTTGTCTAATGTTCCTCCCTGGTCATGCTTCATCTTCCCATTCTATCTTCATTTTATATTAGTTCCCGTGGATGGACTGAAAAATCAAAAATTCTTTGATGAACTTCGAATGAACTACATCAAGGAACTTGATCGTATCATTGCATGCAAAAGAAAAAACCCCACATCCTGTTCAAGGCGCTTCTATCAGCTCACCAAGCTCCTGGACTCTGTGCAGCCTGTAAGCAAAAGATGGAGGACACTTTGTCAGGGAAAAATAGCCTGATAAAGTCAAGCAATAACATGCTCCTTTTGGGCTTTGACACCATCTGTTGGGAGGTGCTTCCACCATTCTCTGGCTTTGAGTGTGGCCCAGAAAATAAATACAGTGGAAAAGAAAGGAATAAAAGATCGCAGTGTTCCAGCTGGATATTGTGAAAGAGCTAGAGGAGTTGGAACTCAGGAAAGGGGCTTAGAACAGATGAGTCCTCTACAGAGACAAAAGAAACATAAGTGTTTTTTCCTTCTATCTGAGTCATGTGTGTGTGAAAAAAAATAAAGGGGATGTGTGCACGCGTGTGTGTGCATGTGTGTGTGTGTGTGTGTGTGTGTGTGTTGGGTAAGAGGAACATCCAGTCTTAAGTCTGGGAAATTTAAATAATACAAAATGTCTCTTAGGAGACCCCTGTCAATCTCTTGAGACCATTTAAAGAGAGTGTGCACACACATACACATTCAGAAAAATTCACATGACAAGGCCAAGAGAGAAGTGGTTGGAAACAAAAAAGCTTAGGACCAAAAATCAAAGGGGGAGGGGATCAGGATATTCCTGGTAGAAGTCAAATTTTCATCACCTCCATGTTCTCCCTTTCTGATTCTCCCTGCAGATTGCACGAGAGCTGCATCAGTTCACTTTTGACCTGCTAATCAAGTCCCACATGGTGAGCGTGGACTTTCCGGAAATGATGGCAGAGATCATCTCTGTGCAAGTGCCCAAGATTCTTTCTGGGAAAGTCAAGCCCATCTATTTCCACACACAGTGAAGCTTTAAAAGCCCCTATTTTCCCTACTCAGTCCACTCTCATTTTCAGATATATTCTGCCTGCTTTCACTCTGCACTACTTCTCTGCAGTGCCTTGAGGGAATTTCCTCTATTGATGTCTGTCGTGAAGATGTTCCTGGCTTCTCCTCCCCCCACCTCTTTTTCTTCCCATAACATATTCAGACTCTATTTCCTACTATAACTCTGATCTGTATTTTGAATGGTGGTGTGCTTCTTCAAATCTGTGAAGATATTTCCATGGCCCAATGTCAAATTGTGCTTTGTCACAGCATTGTGTTGTGTGCCAGTCACACAAAGTTTACTTACTTATGCCTGAAGTTTTGAGAACCAAGAGTATTTGTAAAAACAAAACAAAATTTTAAACTTTACTGGGTTTTTATGCTCTTCAAAATGTAAAAACAAAACAGAAACCCTCTAAGAGGCCAAGAGTGATGAACAGAAGTGAAAAATCCAGGCACATGATGAGTCACTACCTTTTTTTCTCCCAACTTCTCTTTCTCTGCGAAACTTTTCTTCTTGCAAATAACTATTGCCATTAAAAGGCAGGATGACCCTAAATCTGAGTCAGGAGTGGGTGGTAGAGAGTGGAGAGGATAAGAAGGACAGCTACCTGCCAACAGTTTTGATGATGCTTGCTTGTTTGTTTGTTTGTTTGTTTGTTTCCATTGAGGTCTGGACTTTTCAGGTGCAGTATACCTCATTACACTGAAAATGTGCTTTTTGTTTTAAAACTTGTCTGCATGTGAACGTCTCACTCCACTTTGCAAGCTCCCTTTCTTTCTCACCTTCTGCCTCTACTCTCAAATCAAACTTCAGTAGCTTTCAAAATCTTTTAACTGAATTTTCTCTCTTTAGCCATTTTCCCTGAGGAGTCACCAGCAAAAAGGAGAGGATATTTGACCCTTTGCAAGGTTCTATTTGGACCAAAGTTTGTTTTCTCATGTGTAGACCAGGGAGAAGCTTGGCATTAGAATGAAAGGAGAAAGAAATTGTGGCTTGGTTGTTCTCTACTTAGGACATTGAATGTTTGTTCCCTTACTGCCACCACAATTGTCCTTTCTTTAAAACTCCTGAATGAAGTTTTCTGCTTGACTCCATGTGCAACCACAAGATGCCCTCATCTTCCCTTTAGTGCTCCATAGGCTGAACTTAACCAGCTTGTGTTTCAGCCCTGGTGACAAAGCATGCTCACTTCTTTGGTCATATCAACTGTCAGATCACTGGAGTGGATTGTTAGATCACTGAAAGTAAAACATCAAGGAGATTAGATAAGTTGTGCTTCTTGCCATTAACTTACAGAAATTATACACCATCCCCCCATCAAGTGGAGAAATACTCACTTCTTTCTTCAGGTAAGAAACTCAGCTTCAAGGAATGAAGAGAAAACTCAATTACCAGGGTGAGAAGAATGAAGACATTAAAACAAAAGATCTTGTAAATACTATCCTTGCCATCCATCACATATATCTGAAAAGTAATTTGAAGATGTGAGAAGAAAGCAAGAGAGTATTCTTACTAATAAGTTAAAGTCTACAGAGTCAAAGCTTAAAGCGAGACAGGCACCATCTGATGATTTACTCATCCTCCTCTTCTGCTGCTGATTCTTGGATCTGGAATTGGCCATCCTTATTCAGACTCCTCACAATTGTTATTGTCTTTCAGTCAGAGGGAAGCTGAAGAATTGAGACTCTGTATAGAACCATGAATTTGTTTGGAAAGTTCTGATTGGTATGGTTTCAGTAGGATGACATTTATGAATTCAGAGTGCACAACTGAGACACTGATTTTGAATAATCTTTTGACACTACTCTGTTATGCTGACTTTGTATTCTAATTCCAAGAGCAAGGAGAATAGCCACTTATTTTTTCATCCTGGTCATTATCTCCTCACTTAGCTCTTAACTTCATCTAACAGATGAACTTTAAAATCAGGAGTTAAAACACCATGCTCCTCATTTCAGTTGGTTTACTATCTGTGTTGAAAAGATAGTTTGTGAGTGACATTATCCACATAAGTTTCCTATGTAATTTTTGTGTTAGTTGCCAAATGAACTTACAAAACAGTTCTTAAATAACAAGAGATAGAAGAGCTTAAGATGGGTGGCATGTCAATCCAAGACTGCTGGACTAAATGAAAGCTGACAAATACCCTTTCTAGGGCAAGATAGACAAATTCTGGATTTCTTTATCATGACACAATCTGACATATATAAATTCACATGTTTACTTATAGCTGTTTTAACAGAAAAATGACTCTTTTCAGTTAAAGTAGCTCACATTTTATTAATGACTTTACCTCTGTTTTGAAACTACTTTTCATCTTTTGTGCAATGTAGACTTAATTATAGCATTTTAATGCCCCTTCTTGTAAATACTAGAGGCATTCCTTTCAATTTCTCCAACAAATTTTTTCATTTTATAGATTTCTCAATCATGAGTCTTATCTTTAAAAGTACATATATGTTTCATTTGCTAAAGCCAAAAATTGGTAAAATAGCACTAAAATACAAAGCAGCAAAAATTTGATTACTCTAGATTTCCAAATAGTAAGACCAGCTTAAAAGATATTGCCGCAACAGGAATATAGGTGAATTGTTTCCACACTGATGTTTCAGTGAGCAAAGAAGATTTTAGCTTGGCTTTATTCTTCCTTGGATAAAAGAAAAAGTTTTTCTTTTGTTTTGGCCATTGATGCTCTAACTGATGTAATTGTCCCCTGGAAAGAAGTCTCATTTTTCTTACTTACACTTGACTCTAAAACAAGAGCTGATATTGTTATATTGTGCTCACTTGTGAAGGACCATCTACCCAGAATCTCTAACATATAGAGATGGAAAATGAGGATCCTTCACCGAACAAGTCATAGAGACTATCTTCAAAGAGGCTTATATGCTAGATGGGGATAAAGAGTGAGCTCTGACGTCAAAGAAGAATTGAATCATCATTTCAGCACTTGTCTTTTGATTAGGTGGTCAAAGCCTGGCCTCTAAGCTGAAATGAAAGTTGAATACTTTGTTCCATAGCCTTTCTATGCCACCAAAATCCAAGAGTTCATTATTATTTGTATTTGCCTTAATTAAGAAAGGAATTTGTGAAGGATTCTGTTGTATACCTTTGAAGAAAGAAAATCAGTAATACATTTTATATATGTTCACTAGCACTAATAAAGAAAAAAAATAGTTTAACCCTGTCCATTGGGTAGCTGCAAATGTACCCAAGTAAAAGAGGTTTCTAGGTTGAAAAATAATGTGCTTATACTGCAGTCCTTCTCTGTTCATACTCTGCTTCTAAATGCATATATAGCAACATGTATAATACTAGTACTTTTAAAACAAATAAGTTCACCATATATATGGTACTGACATTACATAAATGTTATAACCTTAAAATTCAGGTAGTTTTTAAGTTATAATTTCATTTGGTTCAGCACAAGTGTGACCTTACTTCCTTCTCTCCCTCAAAATTCAGCAGGACACAAAAGTCATTCAACCCAATGTCGGTGTTTTATTTTGTAATACTTTCTCTGGACAGTCCAACAAATATCATGTATAACCCTACCCACTGCAGCATGACCCAGACAAGTAAAACTAAGTTAGAACTAATTCTCTGCCAATTGAGCAAGTAAGAATGTACAAGGGAATGACTTTCATACTCGCTCTCCTTTAGAAGAGTCAAAAGAACTGGGAATGCTTAAAGCATAAAATCCCAAATTTAAAGTAAAAATAACCATTTAACATGTGCAATTTCTTGTAAAAGAAAGTTTCGTTCACTGCTATATTTTTATAGGTAGGTCTGTTCTCATCACTGATTCTTTGAAAACCTTTGAGATCAGTTAATTTAAAAAAAAAGAAGAAATGAAACAACATACTGTGTAACCAAAAATTATAGATGTATTGACTAAAAACCACAACTTTTTAGGGCAGGGATGATGCAAGCATTAGTGTCTCTTTAGTAAGCTACCTGAAGACTGAATGAAATACATGGTGACTGACTTAACTAAAGTTTTATGAGGTTTGTCCTCCATAGTATACATGTTTAGAGAAGCTAGGCTGGGACGGAATGTAATTATGGGCCTGCCACTAAGTGTAAGCAGAACTAGATTTCCTTTTCTATAACAGTTAGTGAGCAAATCCTTGAAGCTCCATGACTGCATAGTTGGAAATGGAGCTGGTCATGGCCATTGTTTTCTAGTACTCATGTTAGCTTTTCTGAACATGTGAAGTCTTTGTCAAGAAAAGGAGCATTTAAAGAATTAAATTCTGTACCACAGGGATGGCTGGCAGAAATTCTTGTTTCTGACCCCTTGAACAGCACAATAAATTCTCTGCAGCTTAAGACAGAATATTAAAATACATTGCAGATGAATGTTCATATATGTATTTTGAAATTGAATTATAGGTGATAGATAAATGATAGATGATAGAAATAGATAGATAGATAGATAGATAGATAGATAGATAGATAGATAGATAGATAGATAGATGATGGGTAGATAGATATGTATAGATGATAGATAGAGAGAGAGATAGAGAGATATAGATGGTAGATTAAGATAGAGTATTTTGATACCTTTACTTTTCTTTGCACCTTTATACTTGGTTCCAGGTCATAAATGTCACCGTGTGCTTGTGAAAGAAGCTGCAATTACATTTTGAAAGTTTTCTCAGAACAGCTAAGATATCTGGGTTGATCAAAAAACAATAAGTACTTAGACCACAGGCCTTGGAAAGGGGCAGAAGAGGTAAAATGTAAAGTACATGATCTATTGCACTTTATTAGCAAAGACAGATGAATGTAGAAGGGATGGTGGCAACCCACGAGAAGTTAATGACTTTTAATGGGATAGTTCACTTTTAGAAAAGAAGTTTCTTGGTCTTTACCATCCTTTTAAAAGGGCAATTTCTTGTGCTTGTGAACCTGGATCAAGTATTCCATCTTTCACACAATTAAATTACATGTAATCAAGGTGCTCTTGCTACTGGGTGTCTGTGCTTTAATTATGGTTTTCTCTATGTTTGACAAATGAAACATATGCTTTTCTCTGTTAAAATTTGTCAGTATACTAGAAGTTGTAGAAGACACAGAGACTGCAGCAATGTGCTCAAGTGTATCGAAAATGAAGT